TATCTTATATGAATATAGTTAAAACTTATAAAATCATCTTTTCTAAATTTACAAAGGATAGAGTTAAGATATTTTGCATGAAACATTGTGTGAACCTCTAGCAAGATTGTTCAAATCATAGCCCTGGGGTCAAAACTGGTTCCGCCCCGGGGGTCATTGATTTTCATTATGTACATATAGTGAAAAAAAAGTATATTTTTTCTGAAGGTTCAAGGCATAGAGCTTTGATGTTTGATATATAATATCATCTATAGGTCCTCTACCAAAGTTGTTCAAATGTCAAAAATTGGCCCTGCCCGGGGGGCAGTGATTCTCATTATGTACACGTATTAAAAACAGAAAATAAAACAAATGTTTTCTGATTAAATGGGAGAAAGCTATAGCTTAGATATTTGACTTGAAATGTTGTTTGATGGACCTGTATCAAGATTGTTATTAAACCCTTGGGTCAAAACTATGCCTTGTGCAAGGAGACAGTGACCTACTTTCTTGTCCTTTGATGTACAGCAATGACATTTTGACCATGTGCACAGTTTTAGATGTAAAATTGAACTTTGACCTAGATTTTGCTGATGTGACCTACTTTCTTGTCCGTTGACGTACAGCTATGAAATTTGAACCATGCGGTGGCATAGCATTTTTCTCAAATGCAATCTTGTTTTTTTTTTGTTTTTTTTTTCTTTTTTTTTTTCTTTTTTTTTTTTTTTTTTTTTGAGTAAAAAAGGGAAAAATTTTAAAAGAAGTACTATATAATTTTAGGTACACAATTTAAAATATGTAGTATTTTTTGCACATATTCATATGTAGGGATTCATAATCACTTTTCAATTACTGTTTCTATTTCTTGAATTTTTATGTCAACGGATAACGTATTACATACACTTCAAAGGCTTAGTTTTCGTCAAGATATATATTTATTGCAAATAGTTCGCTTACATTTGATTAATGGGCGTATAATCATATTAAAGGATAGGTTATTATGTAAAATCCTTTCACTATATTTCTCAAGAAGAACGTGTCAAGCTGTCTTATCAAAATATTACTTAGAGTGAATATTGACGATAAATCGTACCATAAAAACATATTGTACCTTCGAGTCGAGGACATGTTTACACACACACAAAACATTCCGATTGTGAACATTGTGCAGGTGCGCGATGACGTAGTATCGTATCATCCTTACTCCTATTAAACAAAAACATATGAACAAGATAGCATAGCGTCTGAAGGTGTCTCTAAGGAAGCAATTAAGAGAAAATACTAATACAACTGAAAAAAACACTAATATTGCATTTATTTAAAAAAAGGCAAACGTTGTAATATGAAAAATGTCAAAGCCTTTTAGCATAATGGAGAGGCATTTTTTTAATCTTGGCACTTTTGGTAAAAATGAACTTGTTGTAGCGAAAAATGCCAAATATCGTATAATCCTCCTATCAAAATTATCTCATCAAATAAAGGTCAGCCCGTTTAGTTAATAGTGAGGGCATTGGACTTGTACTCCAGGGGTCGTCGGTCCGATCCTGGTTGAGTGGCATACAAATTAACATTAAAACAAACCAACTTAAAAAACACATTTACTTTTAAACAACTCTAAACTCTAATATTCTCTTCAAAATAAGGTATTTTAAAATAATAACCATTAGATTATAGGAACAATCAGTTAATGAATTCATTATCAATGCAATAGATTGAATAAGACGGTAACTGAAAGAAAAATCACAGTTTCTGGTGCAGAATATAAAACCCAGTCTGTCTGAAATAAGACGTGAATAACGGTTGTCAATTTGCATTTTCTCTTAATATAAGTAGGCTTGGCAATGTATGAAGGAAACGCTTTGTCTCGTAACAAGTTTTATTCTATAGATAGATGGTACTGAAAACGAGGCACTTAATATACACTTACATTACGCTAAGGCTCAAGTAACTTCCAACACATGCTAAACACATGAATAAGTAGCGTTACAATATAATTATTATTGTTGACATTTAATAAAAACATGTAGCAAGAAATACAAATTTTTAGATGATGATATGCACAAAATCATCGAAAGCGCTTCCGAAATAATTGAAATTATGGATTTAGAATTTTATTTATTATTATTTTATTTTAACACTGCATAAGGAACATTTATATCGTTTTAATATTATTATTTTATAAATGTATAATCATAGAATAGTTTACGTCACAGAAAGTAACGAAAATAATTTGTTTTTTTCCATGGTGTTTAAATACAAGCATTACTTGTTCATTCCTTGATAACATAAACTTTTACGTCAACTGGAATAATTATGCATTTATATTATATATTATTATATTTATATTATATTATTGTAACTAGACAATTGTTCTTTTTCTAACCATCTAGTTAGAAGCCTTATCCTTTTACATATTTTATAATTTTCTTTATTCTGCAAGTCAGATATTAACGTAAATAAAAACGCTCAATTGCCCATTGAATTATTTTCTTAATAATAATATTCTTAAAAATAATATTAGAAAAAGTAATTTAAACGTTACATACATTGTTCTGCTCTTTTTAGATTAATTTACACAAAGTATTTTTTATTCACCTAGATACAAGAAGATATCACATCGTACAACATGGGGTTATTTCACAAATTATAACACCACAAAAACATACAAAATCCGGTACGATATTACAAGAAAAAATCGATATATAATTTTTTGGAAAAGTGATTGTTACTTACGAACGGAGACGGGGGAATGCATACTTCAAATCATATATAAGTAAATGACGATTCGCCTTTGGATATTGCTGATATTATTTGGTCAAATGGCTCTTCAAACTCATAGTTAGATATGCATTATGATTCAAGCACGAAAACGGGAAAAGTCGTCCACAATTTATAAATTAAATTCCACATTATTGACAATGAAGATAATTCAAGAATATTATTGGCTGTTTTTCAAAGTTTCAGAGTATGCAAGTTGACAACTTACTGGGGACAACTTTAAAAAAGTATTGTTCTGTACAGAATACATGCATTATACGTAGAAAAATGAAATTTCCTTGGATATTAATAGCAAATTGGACTAAATAGACATTTTCTGGTAAGTGAATAGGTGCATTAAAATTTTATAGTTCGATAACAGTATGAAATGGTTTCACGCTATGCACCTCAGGGAGCATATATTATGACTACATTTTACATGCGTTAAGTAATCAACATTAAGTAGTAATTGGCGACATACACATGTATGGTAAAAATAAGTAAACACGTAAGAGGTAAATAAATAGAGAGGCATTTGTATCTTATCACTTGTCCTGGATCTTTTTCAGATTTTTATTATAGCACCCTAACGGAACTTAATACCATTATCTCAGGGATGTTTGTACGTCTGAAGAAGATTCTTCTTCAATTTTGAAAACGGTCACAATTTAACAAATAAGGTCGCTTCGAACCTATTTCATTACGGTTACATAAATTAAATTTCTTTCTGGAAAACGGAGTTTATCCCACCTGCCTGTTTCAATTGAAAGCTTGCGATTTGCTGTACGATATTTAAACAAAGTGATGCAATCACGCATTTGTAAAATCTTTAAATAGTTTCCGAAATCAGAGCTACTGTAAATTCTACTGATAGACAACAGTATTTGGCGTGCAATGAACTGTCTAAATTACTTTATACTGGTGTTTGTTTAACCGATCTATGTATATATTTAACATTTATATTGTGGTCTCCCTTCACCATTTAAAAATACTTTTGACTTTGCACTTTAAATTCATAACTAGTTTGATTGAGACCGTATTTGTATAATTGAAAGGTCAATAAATGTTCTTTTCCTACGAAAAGCCTATTCCAAAATGAAATCATACGAGCTTGAACATAAATACTTGTAGCAATAGGATATATCCCATATTCGCCGTAAGTCATATACTAGTATACTATCTGCTTTTCTTAGCTTTAATTTCCCTAAGGAAGCCATTGTGTACCTTTTCAAGCTGATCGAGATTTTCAAACCCGAATATTTCAGAACCGTATTTAAGTATTGGTATAACAGTATGGTCAAAAAGTTTAAGCATCAAATCTTTTGGTAAATCAGCGTCATTGAATTTGACTAAAGAACATTCTGTTCTTTTCTAAATTTAATTTATAAAGACTAATTGTTACAATGTTAGTTTGCTAACACTTTGTTTAACAAATCAAATAACACTTTTTCATTTTCATATTGATAGAAAGAGCATCGAGGTTATCTGGACGTGGCCCCTAAGTATAAATCAGATTGCGGAGTGTTTTTGATGTTCTTTCTCCCTTGTATCACAATATGATTTATCACAATATGACAACCCAGAAAGAAATATCCAATGAATGACATGATATTTCTATTGTTATCCCTTTCTTGTAATGCCGTCACAATAAGTCTTCGTCACGGTGGTTATTGATTATTTAAGTAACGCGTACCAGGCCATTGAAAACAAATATGGCATTTGCATTTACCTTAAAATTCGCCATCAACCTTTGGATAGGCACTTTAAAGGGTATAAATGTATATCTAAGATTTAATAATGGTGATTTCATAATCTCATAGAAAATTCTTGAAAGCGTTCTAACATGAAATATTTGTTTGTTTTTACATACATGCATTTTAAAATGTTCCAGAGCAAATTACCATGTTATTTATTTAGTAGGGGTTGCATACAGCTTTGCAATGATGCATTGCACGCGCTACAGACATATTTATTTATTTAATTCAGCGAGATTTAAATGGTTTCAAACAACAAATTTTGTAAACCGCAGACAGCAGATAGCTTTTTACAATTAAACTTGTTTCATGCACAATTGTAAAAGTCCCTACGCAAACCTTTACAGTGTTTGTTATCTGCAGCCGTTGATGTCTGTTTTTCCTTTGCAAGTGTAGTATTATACTTTTGGAATTGAAAATAAAAACCCTTCTGTAAAATAGATTTATTGTCAATATAGTTTATATTACAATAACATGAACAGATAAACATTATAAAAACGTAGGCTTTTTGGCTGGTGAATATGGTGTGGTATGAACTAAAAAAAATCATTTTCACCGAGGTCAATACGACTTTTGAAGCACATTATAAATTCTAGTCACCAGTTTAAACGTCCATATTTTTCAATAGTAAAGTCTATAAATATTTTTGAATGGCTGATCGAACTGCCTTTGAATACAATGCAAGTGTTCTTTACTTTTTCAATAATTGGGCGGTAAATTCCAATTCAACATTGTATTTCTAAATAAATATAAATATTTTTATGACAATAGACTACTTTGATTTCTATTTAAAAGGGACTCCACTGAGGTTTAAAAGCCTAAAAACATAACATTTGATTTTCTTATATGAATGAGCTTGGGCACTTTAAACAGAATTATATTCAAAGATAGTTAATAAATATACTTTGAAATAAATCAAAAATCGAATTTTAATGCTTTTCTTAGCCCGATTTAAGTGACAAGCGTTTAAACTCATTTTGGGTCATTGTTTTTCAATTTGAATTATTAGTCTGGAAAAACGAAGTGCGCTAATGATCTGAAATTTTGCAGAAAGATTAGTGGTCTTAACTTACATCAAATGGTACATTTATCAGGAAAAATATTTTCGGTCCAATAATGTCAAAACAACTCAGGGGAGTCCCTTTAATTGTTTCGCAAAAGCTTCTTTATAATGGTAATAACAAGATATGAATACAAAAATCAATGAGTGAGAGCGCCGTGCATGAAATGTAGCCGAATGATTAGCCAGACAAGTGGAAACAAAAATAACGGGCATAGACGGTGAAGGTACAAAGACAGAGTATGCAGGGGTGTCAAAACAAAACAATACTATACGAACTATGAATAATACAATTAAAATTGTAGGGCTTAGGTGTGAGGGAAAGTAAGTTATTCATAAAACGGACGTTATGCTGAATATGCGATGAAAATCAGTGCATATTATTGTGGACAGCACACACAAAAAAGAACATGGAATGACACCGCTTTGAAATGGTCATGTCGTATCCTAGTGTTCTTTGGCACGCAATTATAGTATTTATTTTTAGTTTGACAAAAAGTAAAAAGTTAAAAAAAATTTAGGGCAAGGGGTGGTCATTGAGTGTACTCTGATATTGCCCTGTATATTATTACAGAAAGTAAGACTTAATCAATCGGTCACGGAGAATGACATTTAATAACTATTTATAGACAATAATAAATTGGTATTATAAAATTATTGTAGTTTTGACATTTATAAGCAGAAAGATTGAATAACATAATGTGAAAGATAATTGTACGTAATATGATGACTTCACGCTGACACAAATATGTCGTGATGATTTTATCATATCAACGTATAATTAAACGAATGTTATAGGCCATGATAAGTTTCGAACGCACTGATCTACAAGTTATTAAAATATTATATATTGTGTATATTAGTTTAAAACATAAGATTAATTGTCAGAAATGATTTAAATGAGGTTATGAAATTTAATGCAAAATAAGCAATTAACTCGCAATCAAAATATCAAAATACATTATTGAATATTTACATGAAATAAAATTTTCAATTTTAATATCACTGATATTGTAAAATATACATTTTAAGTATACATTAACCTAAACATAAGATATTAAAAAGCTTTTAAAAATAAGATATGTGTCTAAACGCAATTGTGTTAACCTAATGGTAAGAAGTTGTATGCCAAAAGTATGTTCAATAAACAAAGTTGTATATACTTTAGTAACGTTCATTTCAAAATCTGCCATTACAAAGCATAACGAACATCCAAAATAAAAATGTCTAAGTGAAATAAATGTAATTTTAAGCACACGAACTTCACAAAAAAAATTTAACGTGACAAATGTGTTTTCCCATTCTAACTGAAATTAAGTTTGATATTTTTTATTATATATATTTATGTCGACTATTCAACGCCATCATCAGTATCGGTATCATGCCTATTGCACCCATTACCACCATTCTTTAATATGCTTTTTAGTCTAGGAATAGGAGAAGGGCCACTTCTTAACACGCATTCCTTTTCTGGGTCGCTTCCTTTGTTGATCATTCCATTTGAAGCCGGTTTTTTAAAGATGTATTTTCTCACTGCATTTTTGCCACACACCGGGTTTTGTCTAATATCTGAATCTGTCCCACTACTTGAACTACTTTTATTTCCACTTAATCGCCTCCCACATATCACATCACTGTTACAAATTGTGTCATTTAGAGGAATATGGTTACCATCCGTATCGGAAAAAGTCTGGCGAACGGTGGATGTGTACCTACGCGTTGCCACATAGTTCAAAGTAGTTGGTGCCAATGATGGACACGAAAAACAGAAAAATACATGCCGCAAAATATCTTGAAAACTTCTTCTAAATTTTTGACTCATTGCCGTATATATAATTGGGTTCAGGCAACTGTTAAGAAATCCACAAAAGTGAGTTATAAGCATGGTGAAGATGAAGTTACGCTCTCTAAGAAAACTTTTCTCTTGAAGCTGACTTATCACACTCACCAGATATTGTGGAGACCAGGATATAATGAAAGTGATTGCAATAACAATAACCATACGAGCAACCTGAAAGTATATTAGAACAAAATATCACTTATCACTTATTATTGAAACATTCACCTTTCTGCTTTGCAAAAACATGGTCTGACAATGTATATAAAAGATATACGTTTTTTGTAAAAGCATTTTAACCATACACATTACACTTTCTAAATTGACAAAGAGTTTGCTTCAGTTGTATTTAATTGTTATAGAATGATATCACTTACAGATTTCTAATTTATAAAATAGCATCTTGTTGTAAATACCTTTCTCTTGTTTTCCTCTTGTCTCCTGTTGTTCTCCTTTCTTCCAAAGATAGAGTTTTCCACAGTAATTGGTTGAAGAAGGCTCACAGCAATTTTAACACAGGTTGTTAGAATGACCACACTTGGAATTACGTAAATGATAAAAAACAGAAAAATGAAGTAGCCCTTTCTGAATTCACCAAGTTTACTTTCGTCATTGCCATATATGGCAATATCTATTTCATCAAATCTGTCGTTACAAATTTCACGAGATATTTGCCCATAGTCGCTATATATAGTGAAAGCCAGACTCTGGCAGTAGACGAATGGGCTTGCAACTATTATTGGTATAATCCAAGTACAGGCGATTATCTTGCGTGTTCTTGATTTACTGTTTATCTTCATTGCCGACAAAGGATGCACGATGGCATAGTACCTAAAACAAAAGAAAAAGAAGCTTACAAAAACATGAATTTCACGAAAACAATATAATTATGTAGTGATATGATTGGTCTTAAACGAAGCTATTCGTTTTTCTGAACATAACATAAATCACACTTTATGGTGTATCTAAATAACAGAAAGTAGATTTGTCTACATTTCTTGTTCGATGGTATCTTATTTGTTCCATCTTTACAGCATATAAAGACATGAAGAAACATTTTTGCAAAGTCACATTTATGGAAAAAGCATTGTTCTGGGGCGACGATTTTTATCATGTATAAACACATTCAATTACATTTTTTCTTATAAGACATTCCAGTAATAGTTAAGCCTCAGAAAAATTAACTTGTACCACAGGGCCTTCGGAATGAAAGTAAATATCGTAAATTACCAGTACTTTCTTTGCACGCCTGGTTTTTCTATCACTAAAGGGTCTTGACTGCCTAGTGTATATGACTAAACTTAATGTAATGAAGATTTTCTTTTCAGCAATAAAACATAATAACTTTGTCAATGGAATATTTTGAATATAGTGCAAAACAACCTTGCATTTTCTCGGAAGTGCAATGTTATCCCAAAAGATTTTCGAGTAACCTTCAAAACACGTATCAATCAACGTAGCTGTAATAGTACTTAGGATGTAAATTTAAAATTGTCAAAACGTTAATAATATATACTACAATGTGAGAATAGTAAAAAACACAACAATTAGTACATGTGTTGAACAGATGAAATTGCCTGTATTAGAATACGTCTAGTTCTTATATGAATGTATCCCGTTTACACCTACTCTAATTGCTTAACCCTTCTGTTACATAAATAATCTTATTGGAAAGTATATGAATAATATGATCTTATATTGACGTTTTTCAATTTCATTTGTAATTTCTAGTATTTTCTTAAACTTAAAGCACTTAATTATATTACTGGATTTATAACTTATTTCCATTTATAATCTCAAGGAATACAAGCATTTGTGTTTGTATTAAAATGACCATTGAGTCATCACTTTCCGTGTACTTGTCTCCTTTTTTAATGAACAATCAACCTGTCTGCAAGAGAAAGCACAAATCGACAAATTTAAAATTTATTGAATTATTTGAAAACAAATTAAGAGTTATACAGTTACTTATTTTCATTATTGTCACACAGAATGCAAGTATGTATGTTTATGTTATAATGTAAATTGGACCATTACTTTATGGGTGCTAGGCCCCTATTTGTACAGACAAATAAACGACTTCGTGTTCATAAATCTAGCTGTTAACAAAATATAAGCACAAAAGTCATTAACACAAATTTTTGCCACATTATTGAGCCTGAATTGCTGTTTGTAGATGATTCAAGGCACGAAAAGGCACCTGAGTAGAACCGCAAATGTAACGTAAGATAGCTCTGTAGCTTCCTCGCATGATATAATCAAATATCCCTGTCGTTGAGGGTTAAAGTTAACAATTTTAACAACTCGGCCACAGAGTTTGTGTTTTGTGTTTTTGTGGTTACTTAAAATCCGCGAAAGAAAATTTAAGTTTCATCTACAATAACGAGACCACACGTTATCAGTATTCCAAACACTTCTTTGCATGAAAATACCGGAAGTTATCCACATTTAACCTAATACTTCTGGTAAAATATGTTTATTCATTTTGTAAGGTCAATTCTCCAAATGATAACTTCAATGCTTTATCTAAAAATATACAAAACGATACATGCATCCATAATAAGACTGATTTGAATAATTTGTCTCATAGTCATTGACTTAGGAGATTCTGACGATACTGTGAGCGCTGCATAAATGTCTGCATTAAATCAAAGATAAAACGTATACATGTATATATTGTTTTAATATTTGATATAATATCTGTTTTGTTAATATTACTGCAGTAAAACAACAAATTATAAGCACGCATACATAAATGAACTAACAAAATAGCAATGCTGTTGAAACGTTCTACTTTGAAGACACATTAATATTATGTTTCATTTTTCAATTTCCATGTCTGCAGATAAGCTCTTCAGAAACTGACATTTTGTAAAATCAATTTCTGTCATTGTAAAGCAATCATTGCATATTTTTCTTTATGTGTACAAAACTCAGGGTATATGCAAGTTAAATCAGATGTAGTTCGGCAAAGTTTCTGTTTTAAAGATCTTAACACTTTCAATCGACAAAGATTGAAATATAAAAAAAAAAACAAGAAAGAAAAAAACTTTTCAAAATTGCCTTATGGTATACATCTCTTGATAAACAAATGCACAATTATTTTCTTTTTTCAAGAAAATGTAATGCTGCATTTCTCGCAATCGGTGACTTCTGTGAAGTGAAAATTACTGAAATCATGTTAAATTAACTGTCGTTAATCACGTGGTTTCGTGGTAGTGTTCTCAAAGTAAGTGATTCATACATTATTTTTTTAATAAAAACGCTTGTTAGTAATAATTTGTAAACGAGTATTTTGTAAATATCATATGTATGCTTACTTTCTAATAACGGAAAAATTTACAAAAGTCGAGATTGATTAAAAAAATACTCACTTGACAAAATCTTTCAAGGTTACTTTCATATTAATTTTTTTCTCCAGAACCAGCCACAGCAAGTCAGTTCTTAATGTACTAGGATTACGTTATAATGAAATGGCTTTATCATTTCTGTCAACTTGAATAGAACTATTAGCTTTTACTAATTTGAATAATTGTATCTATGAATGGAAAATGCATGTCTAAAATAATTGAATATTGAACTTTTCTAAAATTTAAAATATGCCATTTTACATGACATTAAACCATGTAAACGTGTTTTTTGTTTGCTTGATTGTTTGTTTGTTTGTTTGTTTGTTTGTTTGTTTTCCTAAGAATTGCTGATCAGTACAATTGAGTTTCTCATGTAACATCAGATGATACAATGCGGCTTTTTTAGGAATTTAACGACTGTGATAAAACTCAGTCATCAATCTGTTATATTTAGAACTGAACGCACTTCAAAGACATTAGAATTTTACCGTCTATTTTATATCTTATCGTTCCAAATAATTACTTTCAACTGTTCTGCTTGAAGGTTTATTTGGGCGTTTATTAGCTTTCTTTTCAATTTACACGCCTGATATCATTAAAAATAAATAAGGAAACAATCCTGCGAAATTTATTCTAAATATAAAACCAACTATTGAATGTAATTTCATTCTGTCGGAGAAACTGCCTCCCACTTTAAACGATTTTAATCTGATGACAGTAATTTAAACGTAATATCAACTTCCAAATTTGGTTTTTATAAAGAAAGTCTTATTATATTTTCAATTTCTGGTTAACCACGGATTTCAATTGCTTTTTTTTCTTTTTTGGTTAATTGCCTGTGTTGATTACAGTTGTTGTTCAAATATAAGACGTCATAAGTTACAAGTTACAAATCTTATCCTCTTGTTTTATATACGTGTATATTATATAAATTTATCAGAGTGATTATTTTGAATACATTTTTACATAGTTACATTGTGTTAACCCATAAAGGATCATTACTCAAGCCAAAATGCTACATGTATGCAATACCTTTATTTAAGCAATTTTGCTTAATCATCATCTGAAAATTCGTATATGTATTCAGAATTGATCTTTTATTATAAAAAGAAAGACAGATTGTAAAAAGTAAGGTTTTAAATAGGAAAGAGTTTTGGAAACAAAGGTCATTGCTTTGTGTCAGTCACTTGAATGTTGTTAATTAATCCAGGAATCTTGAAATAAATTTGCAAACATTTAATAGTGTTGACATGCTGTTTTGAATTTTTGATGTTCCTGTTCATATCAACAAATAGCTTACTCGATTTTGAAATACTGAAAATAAACAAACATGAACTCTTAATCAAGACCGTAAGTTGTTTATGAAAGCTGCAGACCATAACTTTTAGCAACGATTTAAGTTAAACTAATCATAAAATGAAGTATCTTTTCAAAAAAAAGACTGGGCCGAAATAAAACTAGTTAACTTGCATAATGTTAGTTCTTAGTTTTCCATGCAAAGTTATATAGTAATGTTAGCATAGCTTGCATAACAATGACTTATAATTTCTTATAGGGTTATTAATCTTGAAAAATGGAATACATTAAGATGAATGTGTTTCTTAACAAACCTGTCGTGTTTTGGTAAGTGGACGCAACAAAACATCAACGCAGTTGATAAGGGAATTATTTATATAATTATTTGATTTACATGCAAAAATTGTATCCTTTGGCCGGAAAAATAGTGTATGGCGCAAATGAATTTAGACACATTTAGAGATATATTCATACGGGGATTTTCATGAAACCCCTTGGCAGAGTAACAAATGGCATCTATTTCAAGAAATGACAATCATGATATGATTTATTAGGATTGTCAAACAATTATTTAGACCATCTGAAAAAAAAACACTAAACGTCTAGTGAAATACTTGATATGAACTGAAATAGAAATGTATTTTAAATCCCAAATTTAAATAACAATGTATAGTTTTTGTATAAGAAAGGTGGAGATAATTATTATACATGGAATAAAAACGTCTTGGATCTTTGATGCCGTTGGTATTTGGTGGGAGGGTTTGATCCATTCGAAAATTACATATTAAATAAACTTAACATTTAATGTGAAAAAAAAATTGCCATGCACTGTCATAACCAACATTAAGATTAGAACACCCACGTAAAAATTAAGTTAAAGCATAAGAATTTTTATTTTCATTATCTACATAATATGACATTACATAAACAATTCCGCGCATGAGCGTTCTTACTAACATTAATTTTATCATTGTCTGAAAAGATAATGTCAGACGTTTTGACGCTTTTATATTTTGACGTTACAAAAACCCATTATTCAGTTGTATTTTGTTTACTATATTTGTTCTGCTACCGTTCATGCAAAGCTGTGATGATAGTTTTCTGTCACATCAATGTAAACTAATTCAAATAAACCAGAAATTGTAATTATATTATTTCACCAGGTTTATACATTTATATTGTAAT